GAATCAATTAATTCATGCTTGTCAAGTCCAAATAATTGATTGAGGAATGATATGCTTTCCTATTAAAACGTATTGGGATAAGTGTCATAGTTTAGTGAATAATGAACTACGAATGGCTTGATCCCTATTTAAGGTATGTAGGCAATCTAACGAGGAGGTTAGATGCAGCCATAAAACGTATGAAAAACATTACTACGCGTTTGGACATTGAGTGGTGCTTTATACATAGCATGTCGATCTTGGACTTACGTTGGGATCGGGGCGTGACACTAACAAATACATAGCACATATAAATATATTATTCGGTAACACTGTGTATTTGTTTCATAAATTTGAATGAAATAAGATTTTTTATTGTACCACTTCAGTGATTATTCAAGGGATAAAAACAAATCAAATTCTTGCTAATGCCTCCAAAATCGATATATCAGTCAATAGGTCATATGATTTATTCGTTTTGAGAAACCTCCTAATTTCTTTCTTTGTTGGTTTCACTTAAAAGTACGAATCTATCCTTCCTCTTTCCCCTCTCTCTCTCTCTCTCTCTCTCTCTCTCTCTCTCTCTCTTTTTCAATTTTTAATTTTTTAATTTTTTTATTTTATTAAACTATCCTTCCTTTTGGCTGGAATGGTGAGTCGGGAGTATGGGATTGGTTCGGCAATGCATGCGGAAGCTGCTGCTGCCCGGGCAGCAACTGTGTTTACGCATAGATGGAGTGAGGAATAGGTACAGATGAAAGGGGATGCTCTATTGGTAGTAGCTGCTATTCAGAATGCCGGAACAACATTGCATGGTCGCCTTGGTCATCTCTTTGCGAATACATGGCAGATCCTTCAGGGGTTTAAGCAATGGAAGATTTCTTTCAGACCTAGAGAGACGAATAAAGTGGCACATCAACTTGCACAGTTGAGTCTTACGCTTGATCATCCACTTTCTTGGTTCGAACAACCTCTTGATATTATTAATGATTTATTATTAGAGGATAGTCTCAATAGTTAATTGGTGCGGGATACTCTTTTTTCCCTCAATCGGGTTGAAACCCCGACAAAGTTTTTATTGAGGCCCATTATTAGCACCCTATCCTCAATTATGTATGTATTTCTCTATTCAATTAATATCGTACTTTATCTCTAAATAAATAAATAAATAAATAAACTATCCTTTCTTTTAGCTTCTCTTGTAGCCAGAACAATGTTAATTCACCAAAAAGAGCTAGAGCTCGATCTTCAAAGACCCACTCGAGTCATTTAAAGCTGAAAATGTGATTTTTAATATCACAATTTTTTATTACAAGCGAAAATGTCTAGTCTAAACTTTATTATAAAAAAATTTAAACTCAAACGCAAAAAATTTAAAAATAATGCCCTATTTATCAGTAGAATTTACCACTTGCTTCCATATTGCAATTCTAACTTTGAAAAATACGGCGAAACCTCTAAATGTGATCCACACTTGTACAACAAGTTGTAAAAATTTGAATGTAGTTTATAATCATATTACTTCTTTCTAAGAACTTGTCCAATCTCCATCCTCTCGGCACTCCACAAAAGTAAAAGAATTTGGGGCTCATTTTGTAAGTTAGATGAGATTGGCCCTTAGAGATAAGGTTGGTAGGGATTGGTTAAATTTTGAATCCCAATCCATTGTTTGGGGAAACACTAAGCTAGATGAGACTCAATTGGACTTAAATCCAGTCCATTGTTGGTAAATGACTGGATTGGACATAAAAAATTCATTTATGTTTTTCTATTTTAATTTATTCAATGACACATAATTAATCCAGACAAATAGAAGAACCACATATTGATAGTAAAAAAGTCTTACTACTTAATTGGTCGGGACACTCTTTTTTCCATTTGACCCGGTTGAAATCCCGGCAAGATTTTTATTGAGACCCATTGTTAGAACCCTATCCCTTTTCTTTGTACGTGTTCTACCTAATTAATGAATATCATACTTATTCTCAAAAGAAAATCACCTATACTAGCTAGCTCACCAAACTGGCCCTTGTGTACAAAAATCCGATTGATTTACTCTCTATATAAAGTGATTGTGACACCACCAATTAATATTGATGAAGATCTCATACTGGGCTCTTGTAGATTAATCCGGTTCGAAAAGAAAAAAAGGAGAATATTTTATTTATTTAGGGATATTGTTTTATGTCATTTTATTAAAATTTAGGTTTCTTTGTTTTAACTTTTAAGGAATTATGTTGACATAACTGTGATTGGGTTTTGATGTGATAAGATTTCTATCCTAGTTTAGCCTTCCTGTATTGCTAAAGTTTACATAATTCTATAAGCCAACCACAAAATATCGTAGTCCTAAAGTTTACCCTATTTTTCTGTGCGCACCAGAAAAGAAAAGATGAAGAATAATTCGAACTCTCCTTCAACAAAAGCACTGATATTTCTCATTCAAATTGTTTGTCTAGTTGTCTTTCTTCCAACAAGCCACTGCAACAGGCTGACGGTCTTCTTTCCCATGGATGCCAATCTGATCGCACAAACATGCAACCAAACACCATATCCCGATCTTTGCGTCTCAACACTTCAATCAGACCCTCGAAGCGCCAAAGCAGATGTCAAAGGCTTAGGCATCATAACGGTTGATGCAGTTAGGGCTAAGGCACGGGAAGCTAATCTCCGAGTCGAGGAGCTGATCGATAGAGAGCCAGGAAATACACCCGCAACAAACTGCAGACTGAACTACTCCGATATTTTTCATCTTTATATTCCTCAAGCCGTTGAAGCTTTCCCTAAAGATGATTATAAGTCAGCAGAACTAGGCATGACCAATGTTGTCGCAAACGCAGATTCATGCGAAAGAGGCTTTTCCGGCGGCAGTCCTTTCAAAGACGAAAGCCAAGCTCTCCATGATGTTGCTTATGTGGCTGCAGCAATTGCCAAAGTATTGCGCTCTTGATTTATTCTTCTGTTGTCATGATAGAGTAGTAAATTTGATATAATAATCAAGAATAGCATTTCTTGAGAGCGACTTCTCATTTGATGGCGTCAATATTTGATCTATGTGTTCATTTCAATAATTGAAAATTTTAAAATCCCTTTACAATTTGGAATACAATGCTGTATAGGATAAAAGATGTCCATAAATTTTAGGTTGTTCACAAGGTCATGCCACCAAATCCCCGATATAGTGCGGTTTATTTTGGTAGACATTTAATTTGTTTATTTTGTTTGGCGGAAGCAAAATTGTTTAAGTAACTTTTTGGGAACATTACATATGGAGGCAAAAATATATACAATATTTCATGGAACCCCGTGGATTTTAAACATTTCGAGGAGAAGCTTACAATAATACCTCAAGCTCAATCTAAAATATGAAAATAAATTTTAAAATACCAATCATACTCCAAATAAATATGTTTGCTAACATAGCCCAGCCCACACAACTTTAAAGAAATCAATGCGTGTCATCAGCTTAATTCCTCCTAGGTTATTTTTGCAGGTTCATTTTTGAAACTATATATAGAATCAATTTGTATCTTTTACTTTTTAATTCGTCCAACCCGTCCTTGATTATTTTTGCATAATTAGTTTCAAATACATGTATAATCAATTTTGTATACTTTTTAGTTGATTTAGTTTCTATAGTTTTAGTAGAATCAATTTGTAGACATTTAACAAAACTATATAGTTGCCATCAGTCCAACCCGTTCTCGACAATTTTTCTAGAATCAATTTCAAATATAAGTAGAATCAGTTTTGTGTACCTTTTAGTCAAATCAGTTTGTATAGTTTTATTAAAATATGTTTATATATTTTTAACAGAACTACATACATGCCATCAATTCAACCCATCTTCGACCATTTTTACAGAATCAGTTTCAAATATATGTAGAATTACTTTTGTGTACTTTTTAGTAAAATCAATTTGTATAATTTCAATATAATCAGTTTGTATATGAATTTTCAACAAAGTTATATATATGTCATCAGTCCAACATCTCATCAACTATTTTTGCAAAATCAGTTTTGTATACCTTTCAGAAGAATTTGTCTATATAGTTTCAATAGAGTCATTTTGTATATATTTAACAAAACTATATACATACCATCAGTCAAACCCATCCTCGATAATTTTTTTTTTCCAGAATCTGTTTCAAAAACATGTAGAATCAATTTTGTATACTTTTTAGTATAATCAATTTGTATAGTTTTTAGTAGAATCAGTTTGTGTAGTTTTCAGTATAATCAGTTCTTATATTTAAACCTCTCTTCCTTATCTTTTCTTCTTTGCGATGAATGACAATGTCTACAAAATTTCACCAATCATCTTTTGATTACTAAATCCTGGGTGTGTTTAGTAAATTTCCATTTACACGGCTTGGTTTTACCAATTTACAACCAATCATGGACCCATCATATATACAAATGTTGATCAAGGCAATGCAGTCCTCTTGTTGTATCAACTTGCATCTGCTTCCAGGTCTTTTGTTACCCAAACTACAATCCACCATTTTCCGTTTCTCCCTTTTGAACCCAAGGTCCCATGCATAAATGCTAGCATTTTAATTCACTGGTTTAGGCGAGTTTAGTGACCATGATCGGTATCCTTCATCACATTCAAACTCGGTTGTGCTGTTTACAAAAGTGAAACACACTTTTATTGTGAGTTCGTCGCTACCTCTTAAACATCTCAACCATTGATAACAGCCATAAAAATACCATGTTCTCTTGTTCAGGAGAAATTTGATACAACATAAAAACCTTCAAAAGCATTTACCCAAGCACCTTTGTAAACTTTTTCAACTTCTAAATGCCTCCGGAAATCATATGTCAAAAAAATCCCCTATATGGCTGCTTACGGATTAATTGAGTAGACATTTAATTTTTTTAATTTTTGTGGTCTACAGCATTTAATTTGTTTAAGTTTTTTTCTTTGTTTGGAAATTCCTAAATTTAAATTCTTACTATTCATGCGTGCCTACATAGCTAATTGTTATAAGTATTCCAAAGATTTTGTCCACCTCAAACTTACAATATTTATATATAAAAAAAAAAAATACTCTTATAAAGACTGCACAATTACAACTCCAATAGGAACATACAGAAAAACAATCACATTGACTGGGCAATCCCCGCCCAAAAAAAAAAACCAAAAAAAGAATATGCCAAATGGCAGTGGGTGAAAGGGCACCCAATCAGAAAAAGAGGGAGGAATGTGAGGTGACCAATGAGAAAGAGAAGTAAGGAGGGAAAAGGAGGAGAAAAAAACCACCCAACCCAGACTTTTTTTTGACACGCAACCCGACCCGGCGGGTTCCCTGTTTTCCGACGCTTTCTCTGGCCAATTTCGGGCGAATTGCACCGGGCCACTTCCTGGAAATCCCTCCTCGACCTCTCCTCTTCCATTTACATAAAAAAAAACCCCAGTCAAATTGACCCCGATTTAATGAAGAACGGAAGTCGCCGATTCCGTGGGTGTTCCGACGGAGAACCGTCGATTCTGCAAATTCCGACAACCACCACCAAACCACTCCTCTCGAGGCCAGGAACAAATCCCAAACAAGTTTGGTGGCGGTGGAGCACCAGAGAAGACGAATTGATGTGCACCCATTTCTAGGGTTTTCGGCGGATCGAGGCATTTTCAGGCCACTTCCCCGCCGAATTGGATTTCGGCCCAGGTATGAAAATTTCTCCCTCATTGAGATATACAATTCTGTAAAATTTGATAATTTTTTAAATTAGTTGAATTTTCCAGCGAGTCGGGATTGGATCGAGGTACCCCTAACCTTATAACCCAATTTCATATGTGAAGTTCGATTGACGAAATCTCATTGTTTGAACATAGTTTCAATGGAGACTGCCACTTGATCATTATATGCATTGACGTTCCGACCGCTAGATCTAGACCAAACTTTTAGTGTGTTATAGTACGTAATATTTGAGGATATTAGGAATTGATGGATTGGGAATCTGACATACAGATCTTTCCAGATTGGTTTCCTAAGTTTGTAAAACTAAACATGGGCAGCCACGTAATTTTAGTGATCAGCAGAGATCCGATCGTTGGATCATTCCGAAATTTTAAGATACTGTTCTAGAAAATTAAAGAGACTCTTGGGAAATTACGAATCAGAAATCTGATAGACGAATCTTCGGGATTAGATTACTAGGGTTGTGGACCGTGCCCTCTACCTTGATTGACGGTTGACTTTTTAGTCAATTAGCCCGAATTATTCTAGCGTGTTGTTTATCTTAAAGTGTTGTTGATATTTCATGGAGCTTAATGGGCTTACCATGATGACGTGTGTCTCGATTTATGTATTAGTGACACTATATTGAGTTATACTTATTTATTAAATGTAAAATTCGTTTTTATTATATTAAATTCCAGAATCAACATTTTCCAAACTTTGTTTTCAATAATTAATTAAGAGTTGGTTTTAAACATAAATTATTCATTCAATCCCTGTGGAAAACAGGCTTACTTGAGCTACTATACTACGACAACCTTATACTTTTGTAAGTATTTTTAAGTATTTTTATCCCTAGTTTTGCAGGTGGTATCAAGGCCTCAATCACGGGACTATATTCCTCGGGAATTAGTATCAGTAGGTATGGAAAAAAGACCAGGGTTTCTCTGAAAACTTTTCCTGCAGCCCCTGCTTATCCTTGGACAAGCTCTCAATTTCTTGTTCCATCATTATTCATTTGGCACCTTTTCCCCATTTTCTGGTACGCAGCATGCAGCTGTTCCATTTTCTCACCAGACTTTTCTTGCATTGCTTCAAATTTCTGCCGATACTGAGCTTGTATTCTGTTCATCTTGTACTGCATTTCCAATTCCCTTTGGCCAATGTAGAACATGACACTTTTGTGTGCACTCTTCATTACTAGGAATACTGTAAAGGGATTGTCCTGTCCATTGTCCCTATACAACACATTGAATATAATACGATAAAAACCTAATCAAGTTCCATCACTCCTCCTATGAAGAAATGCACCAATCACCGGATCGGATTATTCAATTGCAGACAAAATATAAAAGGATACATATCTGTGGAGACACTCCAATCATGGCCATCTGAAACAGAATATGTTGTGAACGTTATCAAAAGGAAACAGAAGCTACAAACGCAAAAGGAAAAGTAATATAGGGTATGAAGTCAAGCTAGGTCTAGTCAGTGAGTGCTTGCTTACCCATACCATTCGTTATTTGGATTGATATCAAAAACTTTCATATGACTGCCAAGAGGAAAGCCAAATGAGATGGGTAAAATGAAAATAATGCAACTGCTATATGTAAGTAGGAAATAGGTTTGCCAAAGTGCTTCTATTCAAAACACAAAGTTTTATTGGTGGCAGGAACTGTCATATTATCGCTTGAATCTTCGGTTCTGTCAAGAATTGCTCAACTAGTCGCTGAGCAAAAAATGATTCTGCAGCAAGCATTGATGCTAGAAACAGACCAAATTTTGTCTTCAGTAGTTATTCCACACAGTGCATATAGTTACAATCGTTAATAAAGAAAATATGTCATATTATAGCTTGACGAATAGATCAATAGAGTTTCTTACCTCTTAGAGAGCACTTGATAACAAACGGGACACGCACCGTCACTGCCAAGGATCTTGCCAGCATCCTCTGTGCCTTTTCACACTGTTAAGGAAATTAATATTCATACATACAACAACCGTAGTTCTACAAGAAAGTTAAAGTTACACAAATGTCGAGGAAAAATCTTCCTCTCCACAGGATACACAAAAGGTGGCCACATGGTAGAAACTGCTCGCCCTTCCAGTTCTCGCCAACATGCATTCCATCTCATTTCAACCTTCAAAGACAAAATCTAATGCACCGGCATATCTGGGGCATACAAAACATGGTAGTCAGCAACGCATATCTCAAGGATCTTGACTAGTTTATGTCAGTGACAATATGATTTCCATTTCCTCATCGATAAATAAGCAATGCTTAATATACGCAGGTTCCTTTGCTTTTTAACATTTTCTCAGCAACCAAACAGTGAAAAGAGAGTTGTTAACCTTTTTTATAATTTTTTTTATAGAGAATCAGACCTGATCGTTAACCAAAATCTTGCTCCAAAGCCTTGATGCCGAGGATTTCGGAACAAAATCTTCAGCTATCAAACTACAAACCGTCCGATCGTGATGTTCCGCTCGTCCAACTCAGTCGTCTCTCCGATTCGTACGAATATCTTCCCGAAACGCCCAAAAGTAAACGAAATCGAAAATTACAGATGACAGAGAATAAACTGGCGATGAAATTCGAAATTGTAATACTTTAGAGAGATTTACCGCAAAAGTTGAAAATTTCTTTGTTCTTTTTCGCCTCTTCCAATCGGAAAGATGAAGTTACAGCTATTCGAAGAGGACGCAGAGAAAGAAGTGAAGAGAAACCCTAGAGGTTTGGGAACAGATTTGGCGGGAAATGTTCTTGCTGCCGGGATGACTGGTGCGCGTAAGGCTTCTGATTCGAAAGAAAAATACCCGTCGAGATATGAGACTCGGGTCGGGTTAATATGAATGTGAAGTAATGGGCTGACTCGAGCCCAAACTCTCAACTCTGTCTTAGCCCAGCACCGAAGGTTCTGTTTCTGTTCGGCACAACCTACCGAATATCTCAAGTGATTTCGGAAGTAAATTCCTGCCAAAATGATGGATCACGAGCCTCTACCGCATCATAGAACTAACTGAGTTTTTATTTTTTTTTATTTTTTTTTAAGAAGGACAACTAGTGGTAAGCCATGGTTATCTACCCCTTTAGAGGGTCGGGAAAACTTACAAATGCATTTCAACCTTCTCCTGACCACAAATTTGGCTTCCACACCAGCAACGGGTTTCGAACTCGAGACCTCTAGTTTTCAGTTTTAAGGAAACCTCGTAATTCACCTTTTATCAATAGGCCACCAGCTCGTGGTTAGAACTAACTGAGTTCAACAAGCACGATTTGATCTCGTTCAATCATTCATGAATCAGTTTTACTTCTTCAAATTTCGATAAACACTAAGGAGTCGTTTAATATTTCATTTTTAATTTTTTATAGTCAAACAGAAAAACATCTCAACGTTTAAAGGTGTGTCAATGTGATATTTTTGGAAGGAGGATCCTCTCCGAATCCTCCAATCACGTTCGTTCATCGTACATTGTGCGGTAAAAAATCATTATAATTTTTTTTAATTTAAAATTGAATATAAATAGTACCTGACGAAAACTGATCGCATGATATGTGATGAACGGACGTGATTAGAGAATCCTCAAGGTCCTCACAAAAAGAATCCGCAAAGGATCCTCATTCATATTTTTGCACATTCAGATTTCAAGTATATTAGATATGAGCGTCATTTATTTTACTTTCATTCAAGTAAGTGAACATTTTCCAAAGATCAAAATTTCAAATCGACCTTGCTTGAAAGAAAGCAACAAGTCACCTTATCATGCCTAGGAGAACAACCTATATAAAATATGTGTGTCATCAAGTAGCGGTCAAGTTCATTAATGAAATAGCATATTTAAGTTCTTTTCATATAACATTGCATTATTAAACAAAACCGCACATACCAATACACATGTTTCATATAAATTGTTCATCACACGTAATGCCCAGAGAGCTAATTATTCATGAAAAATTACTGCTTCCTATATAGATTATATTATGCGATTGTACAAATAACAGATAAGATTAAATAAGGCTTTATAGCCTCAATAATCCTTTCAATATGGACACCTACCCTTAATTAGTTCCTACATCTCATCTCATTAAGGTTTTGCCAAGAAAGGTGTACCATCCTAGGCCTGACAATTTCTAATACAATCCAATAACCTGACACAAAATGACACAAAATTAATAGGTGTTCAGGTCGACACGATAACGAATTGGGTCGTTATCGGGTAACTCAATAAGCACCTGTTAAGATAACGGGTTGGTTCGGGTACACGCGAGTAACACGATACACAAGAAGAAAAATATTAATTTTATAATTTTATAACCCTAAAAAAATACTATAATAATTATATATATATATTAATTTAACAATTTTATACCCCTAAAAACTATAATAAATATATATATATATATATATATTAAATTAAATTAAAAAAATTGGTGACTATTGGACCGGCTGAGATTTAATCTCAGTCATCCATTGTGCATCAGGTTGGAGGCTATCCTTCTCTTCTCTTTCATTCACTCTAACATGCAAGCTTTGAGTTCCATTGGCAACATTTAAATTTTTGAAAAAGGCTTCACAACCTTGAAAACAAAAACTCTTTTCATTTTGCATATTCTTGCACATTTAATATTTTGTAATAGACTAGCAGTATATAAATGTTTTTTTATTAGACTCTTATTTTCGAGTGTAGATGTAGTACTTAAACGACAAATGTGTTTTAATGTTTTGAAGTAATATTTATGTGGCAATGTGTGGTATGTGCAAATTTAAGAAGAAACATATTTTTTTCTTAACAAGTCATAAGGGGTTGGGTCACTTTACCCTTTGAGTCAAGTGACCCAACCTGTTAAGGACCCGTTAAAATAACGGGTGTGACATGACATGACCCGTTAAGATAACAGATGTTACACAAACACGACAGACACGACCTATTTGCCAGGCTTATACCATCCCATACCAAACAATGCCAGTCCTTGAGTGAGCCCTCTCATTAATTTTGGTACCCTCCATATATTGCCTACTTACTCCGGCCGGTGTCCTTTCAAAACTAGGCCGTCGTTTTGTGGATTCGGGTGGTGTTTATGTTGTGGGACAAGTTACCTAAATCCGAAAACAACAATTTAAAATTTAGTATGAGGATGATTGTTATTTCATTCCAACTTGAACTAAAACTAATATAAAAAAGTATAAAAAAAAAACACCGTTGTGTTATAAAAAAGCGTTTTCCGCAATACTTTCAGTTAATATATAAAGGGAGTGCATTTGTTCTAATCAATTTAGCCACACTCACATCACTTTAAAATAACATGTTGAAACAGAATTGGCTAATTCATCCAAATTACAACCGACTTGTCCAAACCCGTTTTGCTAGTTCAACTTTCAAACCCAATAGATAAAAGCCAATCAAAACCCGACCCGCATGAAGTTGTCAATTTTTGTTTCTCGGAACGCAGTGTCAGTTGAGCTCCTAAAGACATTTGTAAACAGAAATATCATCCAATTTACAGTTGCAAAGCAACGGCGGCCTCCTAAGCCACGACACTTGTTAAAACCCTCCACGTGTCACCTTGAAATTGCTCGCTGTCTCATTTTTCACTCTCGCTCCTCATCCTTCAACTGTAGAGACAGAGAGAGAGACACCAAAATAACTCACAAAAGCAAAGATTTTGGAAGGGTTTAGAGAGAGATGAAGATATAGTACAACGTCTGCGAGGCAGCGAAGGTGAATGTCCTCTGCTGCGCCGACGAGGCGGCTCTCTGTTGGGCGTGCAACGAGCATGTTCACAAAGCGAACAAGCTCGCGAGCAAGCACTAGAAGGTTCTTCTGTCCTCCTCCCACCAGGCCCGGCCCAGGCCCAATGCTACCAGGGCAGTGGTCTGGGGCCCAAAATTGAAAAGGGCACCAAAAAATAAAAATCCACATAACTAGGTATAAAAAAAAAAAATATCCAAAGCCTAAAATAGGGGCTGGAAAGCAAGAGCCCAAGTTTGACAAAAAAGTTGAACGGGCTTAGGTTTTGGGTCATTAAAAAAAAAAAAACAAAAACATAAGAGGGACCACTTGTCCCCAATTAACCCTAAGTTCCAAACATATCCTTCTTTTTCCCGATTCCCCACCCCTACCTTGTTTCCCACTTTCCCCACTGCCCTACCTGCCGTCTCTGTCCTTTTCTCCTATCCATTGGCTGCAAGTGCAGCAATTTAACCCTCAAAACTCACTGCAAGCTGCTGCGCTGCAGCTTCCAAGTCGGCAAGCCCAACAGGTCCTTTTCATTCAGTGCATTCACCAACCCTTTTGAGTTTTGAGGTAAACTAAGTTTAAAATTTGAATTATTAATTCAAAATTTAATATAAAATTTTGCAAGTGACATAGAATTATATGAAACATGGGTTTGAACAATTAAAGGCTTTTAAATATATTTTTGGCTTCTTGTGTGATGCACCGAAGTTAATTTCATCGGATGATCAAGAGCTAAAAGAAAATTTTATGAATCTTGAAGCACATTTGAAACATGAAAATACCATGGATATAGATGGAGCCGATTTATGTTCCGAATTACAGGTTTTACAAATGATGTTACCTGAAGAAGCATTTCTCTTTAATAACCCTTGGACATCCATGGAAATAGCAAACTTTGTAAAAAAAATTGACATGTTTCCTAATTTCTTGATTGCTTATCGTAATTGTTGACTGTACCCATGACTGTGGCATCTGCAAAAAAGAAGTTTTTCAAAACTGAAATTATTAAAATCTTATTTGCGGACCACTATGAATCAAGATAGGTTAAATGGATGAGTGATCTTATGCATTGAAAATGATGAGATTGAAGGTTTGGAGTATGATGATATAATTGATAATTTTGCTTCAAAAAATGGCAGAAAATAATTTCGTAAAGGTTGAAATTTCAAGGAGCTTTGCTAGGAGTGGTTGTATATGATTGTACTTTTGATTGTTAGGGTTTAGTTACTATGTTCCCTCCGTTGTATATTTTCTCAAGTAATATAATTTGGGCGTGAGGGCCTAGCCCCCCAACTTCGACTGGGTTTCAGCCCTCGTTATATAATTTTTTTATAACATATGTTTCCGTATTAAAAGATGGCACATTTTGAGCTTTCGCACATGGCATCAAAAAACTTAGGACCGACCCTGCTTCCACATACCCAAATGCGATATCTGCGAGGTAAACTTCAATGATTCAAATCCCACAACGAAAAAGTTGAGGAATTTGATCGTAAAAACACAAAATTCGAATTGGGTTTTGCTTTAATTTTTTAGATGATGATTTGCAAGAGGCGGTTGGATAATTTTTCTGCTTAGAATATCGAGCTTTGCTCTGTAGAAAATGTGATGTTGCCATTCACACAGCCAATAGCTTTGTATCAGCTCACCGTAGGTTTTTGCTTACCGGAATCAAGGTTGGACCTGAGCCGGCTCAGTCGGATTCCGGCGATGGTTATGGGGTGGTTGTTGGTGTTGGTGCGTCTTATTCTACTCTGAAGTCACGTTCTGGGTCTGGGCCTGGATGTAAAACACAAAACCCATTACCGGTGAAGTGCAAGGCGGCGCTGCCCGGTGTTGCCGGGGGGATGTCGTTTACTGGGGGTTCTGCAGTTGGGACTGTTCCACAGCGTTGTATAGATGAGTTTCTTGGACTCTCTGATCTTGATCAGAGCTTTGGCTACATTGATAATGGATCTTCAAAGGTGTGTGTGTGCTCACTACACACATGCCATCACTTCAATCCATTTTCGACTATTTTTAAAGAATCAATTTCAAATATACGTAGAATCAATTTTGTGTACTTTTTAATAAGATTAATTTGTATAATTTCAATAGAATCAATTTGTATATGTATTTTTAACAAAATTATATATATGTCATCAGTCCAACCTCTCATCTAACTATTTTTACGAAATCAGTTTCAGATATGAATCAGTTTTGTATACCTTTTAGAAGAACCAGTTTATATACCTGTAGTAGAGTCATTTTGTATATATTTAACAAAACTACATACATGCCATCAATCAAACCCATCCTCGATAAAAATAAAAAATTTTCTTTCCAGAATCTGTTTCAAAAACATGTATAATCAGTTTTGTATACTTTTTAGTATAATCAGTTTGTATAGTTTTCAGTATAATCAGTCTGTATATTTAAACCTCTCTTCCTTATCTTTTCTTCTTTACGATGAATGACAATGTCTACAAAATTTCACTAATCATTTTTTGATTTACTAAATACTGGGGGTGTTCAATAAATTTCCATTTACACGGCTTGGTTTTACCAATTTACAACCAATCATGGATCCACCATACAAATGTTGATCAAGGCAATGCAGTCCTCTGGTTGTATCAATTTGCATCTGCTTCCAGGTCTTTTGTTACCCAAACTGCAATCCACCGTTTTCGGTTTCTCCCTTTTGAATCTCATATGAATGCTAAGAAAGTGGGTTTTTGTGGAGGTGTAGGGAGTCCATCAGAGGACTGCATATTATTGAAAGTAGCCATTAATAATGAAATAGTGCTATTTATCTTCATAATCTATTTTAACATGGTTCCTAATTATGCTTGCTAGAAAAAATGGCACACACTGCTCATTCACCATGGTCGGTATCCTTCATCACATTCAAACTCGGTCTTTGCTCTATACAAAAATGAAACACACTTTTACTGTGAGTTCATTGCTACCTCTTAAACATCTCAACCGTTGATAACAGCCAAAAAAATGACATGTTCTCTCGTTCAGGTGAAATTTGAAACAACATAAAAACCTTCAAAAGCATTTACCAAGCACCTTTGTAAACCTCTTCAACTTTTAAATGCCTCCGGAAATCATATATAAAAAAAATCCCCCATATGGCTGCTTACTGATTAATTGGGTAGACATTTAATTGTTTTCAATTTTTGTGGTCAACGGCACTTAATTTGTTTAAGTTTTTTTCTTTGTTTGGAAATTCCTAAATTTAAATTCTTATTATTTGTGTATATAGCTAATTGTCATAAGCATTCCAAAGATTTTGTCCATCTTATACTTACTATATTAAAAAAATACTCTTATAAAGAATGCACAATCAAAACCGCAAAAGAAATTAAAAATTACTACAAATACTAGCAGATTATGCACATCCTGTTTGGGTGTTGGATAATTACATGCGTACTTGAAGGCTATCATACTAAAAGAGATTTTAGAACTCCAACTATATTGGGAACATACAGAAAAACAATCATATTGACAAATAAATAGCTCATATAAATATATTATCTGGTAACACCGTCGATTTATTTTATAAATATGAATGACAAAATGATTTGTGGTTGTACTACTTCGGTGATTATTCAAGGGATAAAAACAAATGAAATTCTTGCTAATGCCTCCAAAATCGATATATCAGTCAATAGGTCATGATTTATTTGTTTCGAGAAACCTCCTAGTTTTATTGTTCTTTGTTGGTTTCACTTAAAAGTGGAGGCTTGTAGCCTTGTAAGTAGCAATTGATTTTTAAGATTACGAATCTATCCTTCCTCTCTCTCTCTCTCTCTATCCTTCCTCTCTCTCTCTCCCTATCCTTCCTCTCTCTCTCACTCTCTTTATTTTTTTTCATTTTAATTAAACTATCCTTCCTTTTAGCTTCTCTTGTAACCAAAACAATATTTATTCACCAAAAAGGGCTAGAGCTTGATCTTCAAAGACCCGCTCGAGTCATTTAAAGCTCAAAATATGATTTTTAATATCGTACTTTTTTTATTACAAGCGAAAATGTCTGGTCTAAACTTTATTTAAAAAAAAAAAAAAAATTGAACTCGAACGCAATAAATTGAAAGATAATGCCCAAATTACCAGTAGAATTTATCACTTGCTTCCATATTGCAATTCTAACTTTGAAAAATACGGCAAAACCTCCAAATGTGATCCACACTTGTACAAGAAGTTGTAAAAATTTGAATATCGTTTATAATCATATTATTTCTTTCAGAATCGGACCCCCTCCGGATCCAATTAAACTGAGCCTAAGGATCAAGAGATACGGGATGTTGAAAATTTAATCAAACGACTTCAATTATTAGAACTTTTACAGGCCCCCTATTTGCAGCCTTTGGATCAAATTTCAATGGCCTAGATCCTTTACTCAGGAGGCTCACTTCAATTGGGTCCAAAGGAGATCCAATTCCTTTTTTATGTCCAATCCAGTCATCTACTAACAATGGACTGGATTTAAGTCCAATTCAGTCTCATCCAGCTTAGTGTTTCCCCAAACAATGGATTGGGATTCAAGGCTTAACAAATCCCTACCAATCTTAACTCTAAGGGCCAATCTCATCTAGCTTACAAAACAAGCCCTAAATTCTTTTACTCTTGTGGAGTGCCGAAGGGATGGAGATTGGACAAGTTCTTAGAAAGAAATGGAATTGGATCCCCTCCAGACCCAATTAAATTGAGCCTCCTGAACAAAAGATTGGGGTTGTTGAAATTTGATCCAACGGCTACAAATGGAGGGGACTTTTAAAAATTATAATAATTATAGACGTTGAATCAAATTTCAACGGCCCATATCCTTTGATCCTTAGGCTCAAGGGGGCCCTTTATTTTAATTTATTCAATGACATGACACATATAATTAATCCTAACAAATAGAAGAACCACATATTGATAATAAAAAAAGTCTTGCCACTTAATTTGGTGCGGGACGTTATTTTTTTCCCTTTGACTAGGTTGAAATCCCGGCAAGATTTTTATCGAGACACATTGTTAGCACCCTATCCCCTTTCTTTGTACGTGTTCTACTTGATTAATGAATATCATACTTATTTTCAAAAGAAAATCACCTGTCCTAGCTAGCTCACCAAACCTTGTGTACAAAAATCCGATTGATTTACTCTCTATATAAAGGGTGCATTTTTGCTTACCACCATAAACTATAGTGTATGCTCACCATACACCTAATCAATTCACACGTCTCCTTTCACTTAACCTTGGTTAATTTTTATTTTTTTTCAAAATTTAAAAAGTAAAATTTAATGTGAAAGTTAACTAGAGTTAGGTGAAAGGACACATGTCAATTGATTAGGTGTATGGTGAGCATACATTATAGTCATGGTGGTGAGCAAAAATGCTTCCTTTTATTAAAATTTAGGTTTCATTGTTTTAACTTTTAAGGAATTATGTTGACATAACTCTGATTGGGTTTTGATGTGATAAGATTTCTATCCTAGTTTAGCCTTCCTGTATTGTTATATATACCCCCCATATTCTATAAGCTAACCACAAAATACCGGAGTCCTAAGGTGTACCCTATTTTCTGTGCGCACCAGAAAAATAAAAGATGAAGAATAATTCGAACTCTCCTTCAAGAAAAACACTGATATTTCTCATTCAAATTGTTTGTCTAGTTGTCTTTCTTCCAACTAGCCACTGCAACAAGCTGACGGTCTTCTTTCCAATGGATGCCAATCTGATCGCACAAACATGCAACCAAACACCATATCCCGATCTTTGCGTCTCTACACTTCAATCAGACCCTCGAAGCGCCAAAGCAGATGTCAAAGGCTTAGGCATCATAATGGTTGATGCAGTTAGGGCTAAGGCACACGAAGCTAATCTCCGAGTCGAGGAGCTGATCGATAGAGAGCCGGGAAATACACCCGCAAGAAATTGCGGATTTAACTACGACGATATTTTTCAACTTGATATTCCTCAAGCCGTTGAAGCTTTCCCTAAAGATGATTACAAGTCAGTAGAGCTAGGCATGACTAATGTCGTCGCAAACGCAGATTCATGCGAAAGAGGTTTTTCCGGCGGCAGTCCTTTCAAAGACAAAAGCCAAGCTCTCCATGATGTCGCTTATGTGGCTGCAGCAATTGCCAAAGTATTGCGCTCCTGATGTATTCTTCTCTTATCATAAGAGAATAATAAATTTGATATAATAATCAAGGATTGCATTTCTTGTTAACTACTTCTAATTTGATAGCGTCAATTATTTGATCTATGTGGTCATTTCAATAATTGAAAATTTTAAAATCCCCTAACAATTTGGAATATAATGCCATATAGGATAAAAGATATCAATAAATTTAGGTTGTTCACAAAATCACGCCACCAAATCTCTGATATACGTGTTACGTATTATTAGGGTAGACATTTAATTTGTTTATTTTCTTTGGTAAACGGCATGTAATTTGTTTAAGTAATTTTTTGGAAGCCTTACATATGGAGACAAAAATAAATAAATATTTCCACTCCCCTAGTTTTTAAACATTTCTAGGAGAGACAAAAACAATAACCTAAAATATGGAAACAATTTGTTAAAATATCAGTCATACCCTAAACAATTATGTTTATTATTATAGCACAGCCCATACAACTTTAAAGAAATTAGTGTGTGTGTCATCAGCTCAATCCTCATCGACCATTTTTGTAGGTTTACTTTCGAAATTATCAGAATCAATTTGTATCCTTTATTTCTAGAATTCGTCCAACCTATTATCGACCATTTTTACAGAATTAGTTTAAAATACATGCAGAATTAGTTTTGTATACTTTTCAGTCAAATCAGTTTTTTTATAGGCTTATTATATTAACACCCCACAAATTGTTGAATAAACCCCACATACTTAATACACATTTGTTTTTTCAATTAAAAATTATCTTAATACACCCCACATATTTCCCCATAATACCCTCACACCCCACATTCTTAATATACACCTTACCTTTTCTACATGCATCCCATATTTTCTATACACCCCACATTTCTCAAATCTCATAAAGTTTTTAATTTGGACAAAAAATGTCCACTAGAATTTTGACAAAAGATGCCGCCTGGGATTTAAAGCATACGTGGGTTGTTTTCAATACCACCATTAAAACCCATGTTGACACACCCTGACCGAAATCAAGGCGTGCTGGCTGTCACACCTTGATTTTGGTCGGGGTGTGTCACGTGTCGTCTATTTTTAATATTTGATGATAATTTTCACGTGTCGTCTATTTTTAATATTTGATGATAATTTGAAGTGTTTAATTCTTCATGTAATCTCTGTAATCCCCAAAAGATGAATACGTACATAGAAGCTTGAATAACGCATCAAAAGCAAGATTAAATAATTATCAATGTCGTCAAAATCACTAAAACAATAAAAATATGAAGTCTTACCTAATGTGAGCTTCCGAAACATCAATTTTGTGCTCACCATATGCAGAAAGTTGAAAACATCGAGTCCACCCTCTTGATTCAATCCTCCCTGAAAAGAAAAAATATTTAAATTAAATGGCACGGAATTCCAGCAGCAGATTAAACTACTCCATACAACCGAGAAAAGCCACAAGTATGTTAAAAATCATATTTACCTCTCTCGTGTCCCACAGGATATCAAACCTGGATCCACTACCAACAGCAACATGTTTACCTCATGAACAGGATGCAACTATGCTTGACAAAGAATCCATGTCCATGTGGCACTTTTCAGCACCTTTCATGGTGTAATGAAACTACAATTAGTTGTGACTGTAGTTAATCTAACCACGAACTAAAGGTACATGCCACTCACAGAATTAGGCAAAAGAATTCAATTACTCACAAAACATGTTGCTTCTGTAAATGCTACTTAAATATTCAATGCTCGAGATAGTGCTTTATATCCACTAGAATTAAGCCGACAAAATTTCCAGCACGTCATGCTATTTGCCAGGAGGATAAGCTGCTCCTTCAAAATTTCCAGCGCGTAATCAATCCAAAAATGTATTCTTAATACGAAAGTAGGATAAGCATCTCATATCACCCAGAGGGCCAGAGTTGGTATAATATGATCCAATTTTTCTTGAAAATTAAAAAAGTTAAATTACATAAGATGCACAATACAGGCCTAAAAAAGAAGGTGGCATGCTGGAGGAACCACAAACACACCACGCAATTACAGAAAAATTGAAAATTCAAAAGGAGGTTCATACTTAATGAAGATCATTCAAATTAAAGGCCGATCCATAATTAGGGGTTACATAATATAGTATAGAAAATAAATCATTGTATAATAAAGTATACATACAAATATACACACTTACTGATGTGATCAAGCATGCCCGCCAGAAAATAAATAAATACGGAAGCAAAGAATTAATTGCTATGAAGAACAACAGAAGTCTAGCAAGTCAAACACTCCGAAGGGAGAGAAGCTTATTACTCACAGAAGCTACTGGACAGTAAAGGTGATAATTTCCTAGCAATGCAGCTGCAAAATATGATCCACTAAACATAATATTATCGCGATACGAACTTGTTAACGAACGATAAAAAGGGCGAGTTAGTATCAAACAGCAGATTTTGACACAAGGAACTATTTAATTGGTATTGTATGAGTTAAATTTCAGATTTTTTCCTGTGTACTTCTTGATTGGTATTGGTCCTATTGGATGAATCTTTCATTCTTTCTAGAATCAGGAGTTTTTTCCTATATTTTCTTACACATGGATGAAGTGCAATTTTCACTTGACAGAAGATGTATTGACTAGTGAGTAATGAACTTGGCTTGGAGACAACTAAGTCAATGTCTAAAATTAAGAGTTTCAAGCTGTACAAAAACATAAAATGACTAACAAAGTTTTGAGTTAGTGTCAATACGTACAGCTTGGAATAAATTATTTAGGTTATCTTGACACCAATAAAACAAGATACACAGCACGACTACAACCCATAATATAAACAATTAACCACAAAAGCTAGCATGGCTTCTGAATCCTGATACAGATGATTCGCACTACAAAGAAGGAAAACTGTGAACCTCCAATTTACCTGAACTGCTTGACCAAAAGCACAAGACACTCCCAATAGTTTCTTGAATCTGTTTGTTAGCACACGGGATGGAACGCCTAGTGCCAATTAGGTGAAGCACAGGGAGGCAAGAATCGAGAATAATTCTCCATGCATCACCGCTTTGCTTGACAACAGATTTCTCCAGAACAACATCCAAAGCCCATTCACCCTTTTTGAGCTTTATTTGGGCTTCTAATCCAAGTTGTTGTATCTGGATAAATCCAAGATTATATTTGCTAAGGAAATCCGATGGTCACCTGTCCATTTTAGAGACATTAAGACTTTACTAGTACAAGAGTTAGAAGAGTTATAAAAATAGTTTCCAGCAGTTAACAACATGTCCCCCATCTAGTAAAAACTACAAAAGTCAAAGAAAAAAAACTGCTCCAATCACCGGCATCAAAACTCCAAAGATCGGCTAACTGCACCCAGTCTGATCAATGTATCATGAAAGGACTATCTCAATTCAGGCGCAATGCTTACAGTTACAACGTCCAAAGCTTCAGTTTATCCGTCAAGGCCACTGCACTAATCCTAACTATTCCTCCAATTTTCTAGCAATAGTATCCAGCCAAATCACCAAAAAAAAGCATATCATACCCACGCAGCTCCACAAAGCTTTACTTGCCTCCTCAAAGTACAATGTTTTCAACTAATAAATTAATTACTATAAAAGACACGAAAGTGCACAACTCAACCTAGAATCAAATGATGAATATGTCAACTGCATTCTTGCACATTTAACACCAAACGATTGATAGGCACATATTTGGTCTCTTATGTTGAATGATCACAAGTAATGGCCATCCCGCAGGCAACTAACAAGACAAAAATTTGTACATTGGGATGGGATGAAAAAAAAAATGTGAAGATGAGGTTCATGAGACAAAAGAGCAATAGGATTTTTCTCCCAAAAAAAAAAAAACAAAATGAAGTAAAACTGCAATCAGACAGACAGAAGCGGAACACACAAATTGCACATAATTACTAACATTTCTGTTTAGATGTGAGTTGGCAAAACAAATCAAAAGACCAATATCCACTGGAAGACAAGGAATCAAATAATAAATTAGTATTTCTCTCATTAGAAGATCGCTCTAAAAGCTACCTTTTATTATATTGTTTCTAAAAGCATAGGGCAAATCAAGTCAGCATAGTATTGCGAACTGGTGTCCAACTCTTCAGTAGCTTGAAGGAAGACATCAAGCACGGGGAGTCAGATCTTTCTTCTGCAATGGAATGATGAAAAGAGCAATGCTCAGTGCAAACAATGAAGCATTTATCAATAAGTAGTTTTAATGACCCCTTTCCTTTAGACATGAAAATTTCAGTATCTCTCGGGCTTTTAGATACACACACACACACACGGACACACGTTTTATTGTAACAAGAATGATCTGCCCATATTACTATGGTGGACTTTGTGCTGGTGGTGTTTCTCTTATCAAGCTATTGTGTTTTCAACTCCCTTTCCTTTCAGAACCTTTTTCCTTCCTTTATCTTAGTGAAGCATAAGGATGCAAGTTCTGTTATTACCCTCACTCAGAATAAGGACCCCTCTCTTTGCATCATGGCATGCCACATACTCGTAACTGACAAGATTCAATCTGTCCCTCAGGGATGTGACAAGTGCTACATCTGGACAAATTGAAAACCGAAAAAATAAAATAAAAATAAAAAAAAAATAAAACAGACAGAAGGAGATATTACAAGCTGAAAATTTATGCAATACATTTCTTAGATACGAGGTGAAAGGTAGGTCGAAAACCTTTTTGCGCGAAAAAAATTATGGGTCAAAAGAAACAGGGAAACCAGAACTCAGAATTACGGAGAATAGTACCAATTACAGCATATAGTGCACACAATGCATGAAGGTCAAGTGAACGATCCTGTAGACAATGGAAGGTTGTTTAGGAAGTATTACATCCAAATCAAATGTAATAGGTTTTGAAACTTGAAATAGATGAAAAACAACTACTGCTACTGATCATAATGGCGATTAAACTACTACACTCTATATAATAGTGCTAAGCAGGAGAGATATAATTCCATGACAGAGGAACTATAACCAACTATTAAACCTTGTGCCATGAGTCTAGCATTTCAAATTCAAATTATGCCTGTGAATGTGCTATCTTCGTACAGAAAGTTAATAAAGACAGACCAATGGCGTCATACATAAGCAGCACATCAACATCCTTCGTATTAAACTCCACTAAGTACCAAATATGGCCTTTCAATATCATGGAATAGTTACTTAGAAAAATCAAGGGCATACCAGGTGACGCATTGGGACAGTGGTCAAAGTTCCAAATCTGCCATTAATTCTCCCAACAACTTCATGAACCTGGCTTGTAAGTTTTTGATCTGCGGAATGCAAGATACGTAGTTTATACCTCATAATCAAGATAAAACAAAGAAATGAAACGAATAAATAGATCCTAGCCTATCCTACACGCAACTAAGAGTACAAAAACCACTTGACAAAGCATCTTAAGGAGGGGGCATACACTCTGGAACATCTGTTCTTGTTGGCGCCATTATCTTTTCAAATGATTCCTCACCATATCAAATCACAAGGTGCAGTTACCCTCGTTGTCACTGGATTGAAGCCAACACGGAGCACCATTGAAGAAAGCTTATTTATATCTTACTAGTAATACCAGCTGCAGGTCTAAAGTCCACAGGAATAACAACAGCGCTGATACTCTTCCAATAGCCGCCGGTCTAATGATCAAACCTCAATACTTCTCCCCTGAGTTATCATATAAAATATCGCTTTGTATAAAAATAAAAAATAAAAAATAAAAAATGCTAAGTTCAGCATACATGGTTTATAACAGCAAGACAGTTGAAGTTATTAGCCATCAATAGATAAACATTGAGGAGTTCATATTGAAAGAATAATCCAAAATATATTGATTGAGAATTCGAGATGAAGGTGTGCATAACTATAAATATACCTTTCCATGACAAAGGAGGTCCCTCTAATTTATGTACAGATGAGGGAATCTAGTTGACATCCTAAACTTTACAATTAAGCTTGACAAGGAACTAAAGGTGTTAACAAGTCTCAAGTGATGTATTGACATGGATATATAGATAAGGTTCACAGCCCAGACCAGCTTTAGGTGTGTCAGCATCATTTTAACAGCACCGGATAGGCCAAGAGTTGATCCATCAACCTTGCATCACAAGTACACCATAAGTCCGTACTTTGCCACGTTGGGTTTGCGGAATAGATATGGAATAAAGCAAGAAATGTAGCAGAAACATACCTTTGGAAAATTAACTCTAATCAACAAGAATTGGTCTGGCTGAAGGGATTGGTCTGGCAGATTGGTTTGACAATGAGTTACATCTGATAGAAAAGAGAAATAAGTAATTATTGCAATAAGATCACTGCTAAGTATATGTCATAACGAAAGACAAACATTAAACTCAAAATGTAATTCACATGCCTTTTAATTCCACCCGCAACCAATCTTGTGTGCATACCAAAGCCTCTCAAATGTCAAGATTCAGTAGCTTCGACATTCATCAAGCACTCTACCACCAGCGTTGAATGCCGATTCTGGCGCAACATTTTACATAGGAGTTCCCAGAACGTCACGTGCCATCATGGACAAAATAGGGTATCTTGGCGCGTGGACCTTCCACCAATTTAATTTCTTAAAATCACAACTGCGCGGAAAGACTGGTTCCTCTAGATACTTGTCCAAGTCTGATATCATATTTTGGCTCTGACAGGTCTCGTAGAGAAATTTATCAAATCCCTTCAATCGATCCCTACTATCAGTGCTAGTACTGGGTAAGCTGCTACCGGGCGAAGCTGGACCTTGATCTACCATTGTTGAGCAAATTGAATAAGCATAAAAAAGTTCCTTGAGGCCATCGGAAACTTTTTTATGGAGATCCAAGAGCAGTACTACGGTATATTTGAGAGTAGTAATACTCCACCAACTTCAATTGAATTGGGGATCCAAGATTGCTGCTACTGCCAAAGCCAAACTGCACTTGGTGGATTACTTATTAAACTTAGCTTTCATCTTTAGTGCCAAATCTAAGGAAAATATATGCTTGCAGTTGGACATTTATTGCCAGAAAAAACATTAGTGATTCCAAAAGTTTCAGATAAACTGTAACAAACCTCGTACATTCCCATTCTGTGTCAGTTAAAGCTGATGTGTATGAAGGGTCTCCTCTGAGGCTGTTTCAAGCATTAGACACTAAGGCTTTTTCAAACCTCGTACATTCCCATTCCCATTCTGTGTCAGGAGAGAAAATGCACCCCTGTACTCTAAGGCTGTTTCAAGCATTACATTAGACACTTTGAATTCCATCGAACTGGGAAATCAAGAACTAATCTCCTCTGACTCTCTCGTAAGTCAATCATTCATTCAATACAATATACAGAGCAAATGAAGACGTCAAAATACACAGAGAAAATATTACATCACTTTCTCTCTCTAAAATTCCTTTTCCCTTTCCCTTTTTTCTACACTTACTCAACTATTACAATGTAGTTAAGACATAAGTATAAAAAATTTCAAATTGGAGTACTCAAGTTAGATGGGTAAAAGAGGTTTAGTTGCTCAAATTCCAAAGAGGTTTAGTATTTACCAATGTAATGAATGAGCTTTCAAGATCAGGTAACGTGACTGCAAACTACTAAATTAATTGAAAAACAGTAATCTGCAGAAAGCAAAAAAAAATAACCTTTACTGACGGAAAATTACCCAGAAACAGACGCTTCAGAGATCACAATTTGTTTGAAAATCGTCACAAAAAATGCTTTAATGACTTCTGGAAAGTTTCTGCAGCTTTTCTGTGGTTATTTTTCATTTTTTGAGCTTCTAAACCCCCCTCAATTCTCAATCTAGGTCAATTCCATCCCCCAAACCTATTTAAAAACATTAATTCAACAATTATAACACGTTCGCATCATCAAATTGTCTGGAAAAAAAATCCAAAATTAGTCTAGGCAGTTAGATTGATTAACTGAAATATGAACTTAATATGCATTTTTATTCTTTCTTTGGCCAACAATAAACCACCCCAAACACATATGCAATGACTAAATAAATATCTAGAAATTTCCTGTAGGATTGCTCCAGGGAAGTAGTAGTTAGATAAATGTGTAACAATCAGGAGTTCATATTGTAAGAATCGAAACACTAAATTGATTGAGAACTTGGGATGAAGGCTTTGTACACACATAAAAATGTATAGATTATTGATTAAGCATCCAACATTTTGTCAAATTCAGCTTCTATTCAATCTAAACCATGAAGAACCACATCTTACAAAGGAAGAATAGAATGCCCAAAAATCAAAGATACACCTTTCAATGACGAAAGAGATCAGTCTAATTTACGTACAGGTATGGGAATCTAGTTGATATGCTAAATTAACAACTAAGCTTGACAAGGAACTACAAGCAATTAATGAGTCTCATGTGATGTATTGACATGGAGATATAGATAAGATTCACTGCCCTGACCAGCTTTAGGTGTGTCAACATCATTTAGACAGCACAGGATAGGCCAATAGCTGATCCATCAACCTTGCAGCAAATGTAGCAGATTCATACCATTGGAAATTTAACTCTACTCAACAAGAATTGGTCTGGCTGAAGGAATTGGTGTAGCAGAATGGCTTGACAATGAATTGGCATCTGATAGAAAAGAGAAATAAGTAATTATTGCAATAAGATCACTGCTAAGTATGCATTATAACGAAAGACAAATGTAAAACTCAAGCTGTAATTCTCATGCCTTTTAATTCCACCTGCAACCAATCTTGTATGCACACCAAAGCCTCTCGAGTGTCAGGATTCAGTGGGCTTTGACATTCATCAAGCACTCTACCACCAACGTTGAATGCTGGTTCTGGTGCAACAGTTGACATAGGAGTTCCCAGAATGTCACTTGCCATCATGGACAAAATAGGGTACCTTGGCGTGTGGACCTTCCACCAATTTAATATTTTAATATCACAACAGTGCACAAAGACTGGTTCCTCTAGATACTTGTCCATGTCCGATATCAAGTTTTGGCTCTGAGAGGTTTGTCAAATCCCTTCAATCGATCCCTACTATCAGTGCTGGTACTGGGTAAGCTGCTGCCACGCAAAGCTGAACCTTGTTCAACCATTACTGAGCAAATTTAATAAGCATAAAAAAGGTTCTTGAGGCCATTGGAAACTTCCTTAATCCTGTCCAGAGCAGTATTACCGTATATTTGAGAGTAGTAGTACTCCATCAACTTCATTTTGGATCGAATCCAAGATTGCTGCTATTGCCAAAAGCCAAACTGCACTTGCCCCAGTACTTGTCAAACTTAGCTTTCATCTTTAGTGCCATAGAACTAAGAAATTTGTATGGGATTTTGCACCATTTAATTAATTGTATGTGACCATCACACACAGGAAAATATATACACTTGCAGTTGGACATTTGTTGCCAGAGAAGACAGTAGTGATCTCAAATTTTTCAAATCCCTAAAAACTGTGCCATTTTCTGCCTTTTCTATCGTCTTGGCGACCTGAATGAGGATTGAATGGATGGATATCATCAAGAGCTGCAAATGAATCATTCGATGGCCCTTCAACTGACCCAGCACCCCCTCTCAAACAGAATTGGAAAAGTTTCTTCACTGTTGGGTCCATCTCATCACTTGTCGAGGGATTAGGGTCCAAGACAAACTCTTCAACAGCAGCCTTACCTTCGAGCATACTCACAACTGCAGACATAGTGGGCCTAAGCTTCGAAGTGGAATTACAGCAGTGGAGAGCCACATTGATTGTAGCCATTATCTCTTCATTGTTGAATTCTGAGCTCAACTTTGGATCCACTAAGTTCATCAAATTCCCTTCCGATTTGAGAACATGCGCCTAGAAACATGAAAAGAACAAAAGCAACAAAGAAGATATAAAAAAATAATAAAAAATAACGTGAACTTTCAACAAAGAAGATATAAAAAAATAATAAAAAATAAAAAAAGCCTTCTATAGTAGTAAACAACTTCAACAAAATCAAAATTAAATTTCAATTAGAAAGTTACCCAATCAAGAATATAAAATCCTTCTGCATTTGTCTGCTGAGTTGAGTTCTTCTTCCCACTGATAATCTCCAGTACAACAATTCCAAAGCTGTAGACATCTGCTTTGTCTGTGAGATGACCCCGAAGTGCATATTCTGGTGCCATGTATCCACTGCAAAATCATGAAATCATGACATCAATTCAATGGTTATAGACATGTGCCGTAATATAACTATATTGGAAGGAGAAATATAAGAAGAGAAGTTAAAAAATGGACTCACAAAGTTCCAGTAGCACGGGTGCTTATATGTGTTTTATCTTCTTCGGCAAGTTTGGCCAACCCAAAGTCCGATATCTTCGGGTTAAGATGTCTATCAAGCAACACGTTCGTGACCTTGATATCTCTATGGATAACCTTCAAGCTTGATTCCTCGTGAAGGTAAGCCAAACCTTTTGCTATGCCAACACATATATTATGCCTTATTGGCCAATCCAACTTCAAATGACTTTCTTCTGCCCCTTCAGTTTGTCAAGTTAATCAAAATTAGTCATAATTTTGTGCATACAATCTTTTATACCATGTGCATGGACCAAAGGAAATGTAGGCGTACAAAAGTGATACTTACCAAACAAAGCATGAGAAACGCTATTGTTTTCCATGTACTCATAGACAAGGTATAGTTGATTTCCATCAATACAACATCCGTATAGGTTTACAAGGTGAGGATGTTGCAAAGCGGAAATCATGCCTATCTCATTCACAAATTCTCGATTTCCTTGCTTTGACTTGGAAGAAAGTTGCTTAACAGCAATCAGGGTTCCATTTGCAAGAATGCCCTGTATTTGACTAAGATAGTTAATACAAATCTCTTCACGCGAGAAATTAATCATAATTAGGATGGCAATTATTAAACAAATTAGAAAATAAATTATTTGTTTCAAAGATTACCTTATAAACAGTACCAAAACCACCTTCACCAATCTTATTGGCTTGGTCAAAGTTGGCTGTGGCATCTTTGAGTTGCGTATAGGTAAACTTGCGAGTTTGTAGTTCCACACCTTTCAAATCTGCGTGAAAAGTAAAACTCATAAGAAATTGTTGTGTCTAAGAAAAATTTAAGAACAATTTCATTGTTTTATCTTAAATCCCACTATTGTTTGAAGGCCTAGATCTTAACAACTATCTGGAACTATAGGCATGCATACTTCGCATCGTGAGTTAAAAAAATATACTGTACTCTAAGAGCATCAAGCTGTCGAAAAGTTCAATATCTAGACAATTATTATCTCGGAGTGTGCACTTAAATATGCATGAGAAGTCACAAAATAGGATAAATGTTCTTAGAAATGGAACAATGAAAACAAAAGGCAATATAACGGAGAAACAGAAAATACCATCCTCCAATGTTTTTTGTCGTCCTAGGAGGCCTCTCTTCCAAAGAATAATGAGCGCTAGTAATACGATGGCGATGATGATGACTGCTATTGCGCATCCAATTCCTACCATTGTGCCTATAGGCACATGACTCCTAACACGCTCTACGTAGCTTAAATTTTTTTTTGGAGGTTCAAAGTCTGCCAAAATAAAGCATAATTTTATTAGAATAAATGTAAATCTAATAGATGAGGAGGTACTTGCAAATATTCAACAACACACGTATATCGTACTTGGCGTCACACTAATGGCTGATATAAGAGGCCCATAGACACCTGTATGAGGAATGGCAGTCGTCCCTTTTCCTGCCCAATATAGGTGGATCTCCAGTGTGCTACCAATAACGGTGACATTGTCAAACTCTCTGACAATGCCCTTACCAACACCTCTTGCTTCTTCCATAATGTTGAAGTCTTTCAAAACCAAGTTCCCCTGCACATGATCACACAATTTCAATACGGCATTAATATACTTCTGCATTTCTTTTAGAACTTCGCATAAAATAACACCCAAATAAAGCAGCTAAACGGCATATGACCTTCCAAACAAGTATCGTGGTCTAGTAAATGCCAAAAGAAAGATCATGAACAGTTTTCAGAGCATATAGTGTGATCTATAATGGAATGCGCCAAACAAACTAAATGTTGCCCATTGAACCTTCTGTAGTGTTTGAAAAAAAAAAAAAAAGTTAAATAAACTAGCAAAGAATCACAAATAATAAATGAAAGTTTATTTGTACTCACTTGAATTGAGATGTCAAACAAGCGTTTTCCGAGACTGCTAAATGTTTGGTCATCCGTGAACATAATCTCCGAAAAGTAGAGCCGCACTTTGTAGTTGCCTTTGAGCATGCAAAGGCCATAGTACTTAAGGGAAAGAGGGGCAATGCGCGCTGTTTGATATAAATCTGGCCTGGTAATGTTCAAAGATGTTGCAATGTAATTTGCATCGAGGTTGCTCATATCCACGCCGGTACTGCTGTAGCCCCACTTTTGAGCCGACGAAACAAAGTCTGATGGTCCGAAAGAGCTCAAGTCCTCTTCATATGTATGACCATCAAACTTCATCTTCCTCCCTCCACAATTGATAAATATAGAATGGTCTGCATTTGCAACAAGAATAGTATTAGAATTTTATACTTCAAAATTCATATGTACGACACATATAACAACCATAAAATCATAAGGACAGCATGTTAGATTTCCCAAAAGCTATGCCAAGAAAAGCAATAAAATAAAGAATAGAAAATTTACTAATTAATTAATTAAAAATGACGGGAAGCAGTCGGTTGAAGCATGTGGAAAGTGGAGCACTTCCTCCCCTACTTTCCTCCAACGTGCAAAAAGGAGTTAAAGAAAAATACCCACTTTCTCCATACTTATCCACCCACAACCTCCACAAATTCCAGTCTATAAAAAACTGCAAAAGAAACAGGATAAAGAGGAGAAAAAAGAGGGCATAGAGAGAACAAACGGGAAGAGGAGCAAAATACTGCCAAGGGACACAGAAAACGGGAGACCGAAAAAGAGGACAACGGAGAGACGGCGGAACACAGCCGAGAAGGCAGACGGCAGAGGAGAAAAGAAAAACAAAACAAAGAAAGAGCAGAGAAACACAGCAAAAGCAAGAAAGAAACAAACGAAAGAAAAGCACAGAAACAAATACACGGCAAAGGAAGCAACAAGCATTCAAAGCACTCAAAGGTATAAACCGATGGAGACATTTGCAGCAGCATCGTCAACATCAAACGGAAGCCCAAACGGACGCTGCAGCCATCGCCTGGAGAAAGAAGATTCGAAATGGAAGACTCATGTTCGCTCTCCCCAAACCAGTGCCCTCCATCCATGCTCTCCGTTCATGCCTAGAAGGAAAGAAGCAGTACGTGCCACTTGCCGCCGTGGCATTGCTGTTAGAAGGTTCTAGGCCATTGAAGACCCGGTCCCTATAGAAAGGCTACCAGGAAGAAGATCGTCGAGTCGTTGTCGGAGTTGCCCAATAGTGCAGGCCTTGTCCCGTAAAAAGCAACCAAGAAACAACCTCAAAATTCTGTGCACCAAGTCGTAGAAGATGGTTCTATACAAGCAACAAGGCAATGGTGAAATGGTGTTTCCATCGTTTCGTTACTCCCACAAACATGCATGAACCTACAGCGGATGAAGACAAAAAGAAACTCGTCCCCGCTGTCCACACTCGCACATGCAGCAGCCCCTCAACTGATGCTCTCCAAAATCAGATCGTCACGTTCTCTCCCGGTGATTGCAGTGGCTCGGCGTAGAAGAACAAAAAAGTGGTCCCTGCCTATTAAAGAGATACCGAAGATGTTTGGAGAGTCTGCATCAAATTCGACTAAGGAAGAAGCCAAGAAGGTGCAGCACAAGCAAAGTAAAACATCTGCAAATCAAGGACTTGAAGCAAACCACAGGAACAGAAAACTTCCACTTGCAAGCCATTCACCATTCGTCAAAGAAAGTAGCAACAAGCTTCAAGTATGGAGGAATAAGGTTGCAGAGAAGAAAGACAACAACCAACCCGTCTCCGTTGTTTATATCGCCTCAGTTCACTTGCCACTGAAGCTCTACAAAGGAGCAACCCGACCGCTGCCATCGCTGTCTTGAAGTCAAGAAGAAAAAGCTGCTGCCACTTTGGAAGGGAAGGCTGTGCTGCCCTCACAGTGCACCAAAAATGGTGCGGGCTGCTGTCTAAGTCGCTAGCGGAAAAGAAGACGGTGCAGGTGCCATGGGGTTGCTGTTTTCTTTCAAGCGGTTATATTATAACTCCTAGTTGAATTCATAGAAGACAAAGCATCCAGCAAAGAAAAGAAAGGATGGAGTTCTGCTACAGACAAATTACTCCCCAGATAAATAGGAATATTGCTCCACATGGAGATTAAATAAAAAGAAGAAAAACAATGGCTTTTCCATTTTTGGCTCTGTGAATAAGAATTGGGCCAAATAAAATGGCACTTGACATCATGGTACCGGTTTCAAACGGTTTAAAACAAGAAGTGTGGAGACCATGTCCTCGAAAACCTGTCCTTCGTTAAATCACCAACCATGCAGAAACTTGTTGGCAAAAGTTGAACGCGACTCAAAGAATTTGGCTCGTTGCGGCTGGCTGCTCCATTCTTCAAAGAATGTTCCAGAAAAAGAGAAAGAAAGAAATAGTCTTGCTCATCACATGGGTCAAAATGGCATGTTCCATGAATCCAAAGCCACCAAAAGTAGCTTTTGGAAAGTTCAAATGGAGGAAAGGCAAATTTAAAAAAAGCTTTGAAGCATTAACATCAAGCCTAAAGTGGTTGTGCTCCATGAAGAGAAACAACAAATCGTAAAGAAAAGCGCCATGGAAATGCCCAAATTCCAAAATAGCAAAGTGAATTGGAAGAAAGCTTCATAAAGAAAGTCAATTGTTGCTAGCAAGCCCCAGGGCAGTTTCTTCTTAATCAAAAAAGGACTAGATGACAAGCATAACTACATGCCCAATAAGAAGAGTTAGCAGCTAGCTACAAAATCAATTGCACCACGACAAGTCTCAAATGGCACAAAGCCACTTCAAAATTTAAACAGCACAAAGCCGTCCCAAATCTCAAAAAGAATACAAAATCAAATTCCCTAAAGGGCACAAAACCATACCAAAATCATAGCTTGAACTACGTCGGTTTGATTCCATTAAAGGATACGTAAGCAATCTAATACCATATTCTAGGCTCAACCGCAAACACAAAAATACTAAATTGAATCCCTAGTTCACCTCTACCAAACTCACTACCAAATCCAAATCAACTCCCTGGTTCCTTCAACCAAATTCACCCAAATAAACCAAACACCAAATCATTTTCAATGGATCATTCACTCACTAAAAATCCCTAAACCATGAACTACGAGTGACTTAATCCCTCAAAAGGGTACATAGGCAATCTAGGACTCCACCTAGGTGAGTCATTCACTCACTAAAAATCCCTAAACCCTGAACTACGAGTGACTTAATCCCTTAAAAGGGTACGTAGGCAATCTAGGACTCCACCTAGGTGAGTCATTCACTCACTAAAAATCCCTAAACCCTGAACTACGAGTGACTTAATCCCTTAAAAGGGTACGTAGGCAATCTAGGACTCCACCTAGGTGCAACCACAAAATCAAACAAAAATACCAATCCCTAAATTTCATATTTTTCATGTTAGAATCAAAGAGGATTCTTTTCCCAAAAGAACGGTCATAACTAATAGGCGCGAGTCTAGAATGGGTCGAACTCAAATTAATAAAACCCTCTTCGGAAAAATGAACGAGGGTGAAATTGTGTCGAGTGAATTATTTGTTCTCATGACAATTTTTGCTCTCAACACCATCAATTTGATTAACAACATGCAACATCTAACAAAAGTACCCAAAAAACCCTAGACTATACAATCAACCAATTTACTAGGATAGATAAAAGAAAAAATTATATGAACTTAAACTCACATTTCGGTTTTGAGGAGCAAGGAAGGTCCTTCTTCAAGCACCACCTACGCGTTGAAAGAATTAAGGTTCAGTCATGACTCATACATATATCTTTTGATGTTTGATAAACATGAGATCACAAGTTTTTGTGAACTTACAAGTTTTCTGATGACGTATAACTAGAAACCAAATTCCTGTAATAATCAAGACAATTAGCAAATGATATTCGACGGAGAAGGAACATATAATAAGTACATAACGACTTTAGCCAATAGCATTAATATTGATAGACTTACACAGGCAAGTGTTGACAACTGACGGAAGGTGATCCTGTAAAATTGTTGTATGACAAGTCCCTGCAACATATGTTGTGTGGCATTGATGACATCTCTAAATTCAAATATGGAGAAACAAAAAAATGAAATTGAAATCGAAGCTGGCCAGCATTTTGCTTTAAAGATACAAACACAAATAAATTAAAACTATTAAGGATGAAAGTGTAAATATCTCCTCGAGATAAAACTTAGAGACTAAGTAATTGTTACAGTTTTGTTAGGACAGTTAGTCATTGTTAGATTTAGTTAGGACAATTTGTTAGATTTGGCTTACATGTGTATATACTCAAATGTAATCTTATTGTGATTGATGAAATGAAAAATACATTTCTAATAAAAACTTCATATATTAGTATTACACTATAGACTGACCGGTAACGTTTGCTCTGCAATATCCAAATTGGTACTTCTCCATTCAGTATGTTGTTGCTCAAAGACCTGCACAAGTAAAAATTAACGTTCAATGAAAATGTAAAATATAGTTGACTTGAGAAATATTGAAAATGTGCATTGTTTGCACCAATAAATGAATGCATCATTTGACCGACTTACATGAAAGATATATGGCTAGCACGTTCAATTGTCTGTGGAATTTCTCCAGTCAACTTGTTAAAGCTTAAGTCTCTATATAGAGGGGAAAAAAGCATCATATAACATACGTCAGAGGTTTGTTTTGAACTTTTGAAGATTTATTGAATCCACAAGTAATAGAAAAGAGGAGAGGGCCCTCTAAAAGCCGTACTGCTGTTGTTTTTCAACTTGTTAAAGCTTAAGTCTCAAATTCTTGTTCAGTCTAGCAATAGTAAATTTGTAGATCTATACAACTATATTGATTATAAAAGCACTCACAATTTTCTTAGATTTGTAAGCTCGCCAAGGTAATTAGGGATTGTACCACTAATTGAGCAATTTCTCATAATCCTGTATCACAGAAATGCGAACAAAAATTAGAGAATGATTGCGTTAGGGATAAACTGAAGTATAATTTCAATAGGGTTATGTAATATGAAACTCACACTATCTGTATGTCTTTCATATATCTCAGAGTAGGAAAAGGCATACTTGGTCCGTGCAAATCTGATATCATTCTGATACAAAAGACACATCAGAAATAATTATTTGTTTTATAGTTCAAGATTTGGAATATTGGATAATTACAAGATAGAAGAAAGTGGTCTTACAATTCCTTTACATATTTCAAGGAAGATATGGTGTAAGGAATAGGACCTTCCAAGGATGCACCTTGCAAATCACTGCAGTAGATTTCATCTAACTCGTGATCCAAAAACTGATAGGATACAAGTATATTGAAAGGAAGGAAATGCAGGAACAAAAAGGAAATGCAGAGAAAGGGAACACAAACAAAGATATTCAATTCATTTAACCGATATCCTCTCCCTGATGGCTAAATGCCCTTGTACCACTGAGTCCAGATTTTCTGCACTCAAAACTCTCTATGGCCTCCCTGTGCCTTGTATCATTGCTTAACACATGTCACCAAAGCTAACTTCATCTAACTCTGTTATATAATATTACTAAAATTAGGATAAAAAATTTAGAGAAGGAAGAAGCCGGTAGCCATGCCTCCGACGACCACTCAACCCCAAAACAACTTCAGCCTCCCTCTCCAATCGAGGCAAACCCCGCCGAACCCAATCCTTCCCATCTCTCGCTGCCTCCCTCCCCTTTACTGGTCCAACGACAGAGATTGAGATTCTAATATATCATATATGCACCTAAGCCCCTCCTGCGTTGATTCCGACTTCCATTTTTTCTGGCGCCCCTCCTGCGTTGATTCCGACTTCCATTTTTTCTGGCGTGAAGATAAAAACAAAGGCAGAGAAGGTGGAGAAGATGACCCATTATTTTTTTTTTTTTTTCTAATAAATTAACTCAGAAGCAGAGAAGATTGAGATTCTTATTTAATATTAATATTATTTAACAGAGTTGGATGTAGTTCACTTTGGGGCAGGTGTCAAGCAATGATGTAAGGCACAGAGAAGATCTGGACAGTATAAGACTAGAAAGTAACTAAGAAGCCTCTTAGTACCCGATTAAGCCGTAACCTAACCACAACATGATCCCTGTAACAACACTCACCATCTTCTCATTTAAACCAAAGTAATTGTACACATATATCTAATTGAAACGTCATGTGATGATGAACTTGTTCCTAGAGTAAATGTATGTATACAATGACATTAGTTTTAAGTTAACTCGGTACAATATATCTAAAAATTATCCTAAAAGAAACACTCACAGTAAAAGATGGGAAATAAAGAGTAAAAATGGAAGATGACTATAATGAAGAGCAACACTCACAGTTTTTGAAGTTTGCTCCAGTTTCCAATAAATTCAGGTATCTTCCCTGATAATTGGCTCCCACCTATCCTACTGCAAGCATTAAAAGAAGATGAGAATTTTTGCGTAAAACTTATGCACATTTGTATAATCAAGCCATTTTGCATTACTTACAAATCAATTAAGTTCTTCAGATTTCTGTACGATTCTGGTATCGTACCAGTAAAATTGTTTCCAGAAAGAAGGCTGTTGAAACATACAAAAGAGTCATAAGATATTCCAATGAATTTGTGAAACATTTACAGTACCATACAAAATAGCAAAAATTTCACGAAATTTTGATTTTTGAAAAAGTTTGGTCAAAAGAAGAAATGAGAATGCAAACTAACATTCTTTCCAATTGAGTCAACCTCCCGAGGTTTAGCGGAAGAGGGCCTTCAAACTGATTGTCTTTTAAGTCCCTGGAACAAATGTAATTTGTCAATCAAGGTTATACATATTCCTTTTTTTTTAATTATCAATAAGTAAATAAAATAATTACAAAACTTACAACTCTCTGAGCAAAGTAAAGTCACCAGAAGGAATTAAACCACTAAGTCGATTCCCCAAAAGATACCTGCAACACACTAACAACAGTTACACGCCATACTTAACAGATAATAAATGCATCCGTGCGGCCATTATTTAAGGTCCTTAGAAATCACTTACAGAAAACGAATGGGGGAGCGGGAAAGGCTGGCAGGGATTGATCCACTAATGTAGTTGCGAGTGAAATCACTGTTTAATGTGAACAAGCATTAGAAATTCATATCCATAATTCGTAATCCAGTTAATGTACATAACAAATTTAAACTAACAACGTAATCACTTACATTTTTTCTAACTGTGTAAGATTTCCGAGTTCCTCAGGTATAACTCCAGTTAAATTTAAACCCTTCAGCTCACTGTAAAACCAGCATTTAAAGCAAAGCTAATCATTATAAAGGAAGGATAGAATTCAGAACAATAGAACTTTGGACCAACAAAATCATGCATGACTGTGATACCGACTTTAAAGCAACACTTGTTAATCAGTTGTACTTAAAACAATAAAACTTTAAGCTAATAAAGCCTTACATGACTGTGACATGGCAAGTATTGTTTGGAAAGGAACACTTGCAAGTCACATTGCTGAAAATTTGGTCAGCAAAGTATTTGAAGAAGCCTGCTCCACCATCTTGGCAAGAACTTTGGCTGATATTCTTCCAGTGAGGGTTTCGTAATTTTCTAGAAATTGTTTCCAAAGTTTTCACTGTAAAACAAAAACAGCTCTTGGTCAAAATCACATGCAATTAAGAAGGCATGGTCAATCATACATGTTCACCCTACAAAGGCGTAATTGAATAAAAACAATGCTAAAATCCTTCACCTTACAACTCAGTTGCTCAGAAAAACATAATAGTACATGTTTAAACCAATAAGAATTGCCACATCATTTAATTATTGGTAATAAGAAATTACCATATTATGCAATTATTGGTGCCTTGTGAGGCAATCAACATATACTACAAATCAAACAGATGAATCCTTTACTGCCAAACTATGCAAGTTGCACTGATATAAATTGTTTAAGAACCATTATGTCTATTGGTTTAGTAAATCATGGTAAAGAAGTTGTAAAAACCCAATTCCTCTGCATTTAAAGAAATACGACGATGGAAAAGATTGTGGAAAATTTGAAACTTTTATACTAATCAGTGGCAATTTCCCAAATTCTATTTTTGCTTGTAATTTAAAAAAAATCATGAAAAAATGTAAAAACAAAACGAAATGATAGTGATGTAGAGAAGAATAAAATATTAGATTATAGAATTATAAGAGCATCTCTAAAGAAACAACAATACTGACTCCAACCGATGTACAATTTTCTTACGTTATGCCGTCACCACCCCTTGCTGTCAATTTTGACGCCAGTTGCTTAGGCATTGTTCATATTTGTTGTTTCATTAACACAAATTTATTTGAGGAAACAATGGTAGCCGTATCGACTAGAGCAAATATACTCTCCCTCTATTCACCAAGTTCAAATCATCCAATTATTTTGGATTACTTAAAGTAAATATTCTTTGTTTAAAAAGAAGTGGTTCTGTGCCCAATTCCAATTTCCATGGACTAGCAAAAAAGGAGATTAGCTAGCCCACCCCGTTAAATAGATAATCAGCCTGAATATATGGGTTAACTAACGGATGGGCTGAAGAGAGGATTTAATCTTGACCGTTAGTGCAAGCCCAAAGTTTCTCCATGGCATATTCATTCGGGTCCAAATCGGTATTCGGAGTTTTAGTCTACTCATGTCGTGTGTGCGTCGGAAATATTCTGATCGGCAGGAAGTCGCCGGCCTTAGGCGAATGAGATGCCAGCGAGAGACCTAAAACCATAAACCCAACGCCCAAAAACCCTAATTAGTGTCAAACAAAATGTCCAGTACATGTTTACATGGTATGATTTTTCAAATGAAATGATATCAGGACAGAACCTCCATTTTTGTGGGTTCAGAAGAAGATTTGAAAGCTTCTTGCTTTAACTTAGCAATGCCTGATGGCTATCTCCTAGGGTTTGAAATTTCTAAAAATAGAAACTGAAACAGAGAAGACACAGATGCAGAGTAACGAGTCCAAAAACAAACAATGAGGAAAATTCCAAATTTCTTTGCTTTCCAAGAAGAACTTTCCCAGGAACCAAACAGAGCAGAGCATTTCTCACAACACAAAACCAACTGCAACCATCCTCACAAAGCAACAAAAATCTTCACAAAACCCAAAATTATTCAAGAACATCCATATTTGCAGTAAAAGTTGAGATATTTAAAGCGAGAAGGAAAATAATGATTTTATTTTGTGCTGACCTTCTTCCAGAGGCAGAAGCTGAGCACAACTCAGAGCCAGAAACCCGATCAGGAGACCAACAAAAATCACGGAACTCGACATTGTCGTGATCACGACACAAAAACAAAACCAGAGAGTGTGTTGGTAACTTTGTTAGAAAGAGTGGTTTTTGTTTTAAATTTTTAATGGTTTTTTCTGAATGTGATTTTTAGGAAAAGAAAGCTTCAAACTCTTGTCAATCAAAATTGCAACAACTTTTTGGCTCTGTAATTTTACTTACTCCTCATGAGAGAGAAAGAGGCACAGCTAGTTAATTAAATTAAATTTCCCTTTCTGGTATTGGGGCAGAAATCTGAAGCTAGCTACTCTTACTCCAATTTTAGTATCAGAAAGTAACTTCTTCTGCCGTTGGGAAGAGGACAGAAAGTTCACAAGTTTATTATTTTTTTATGAACTTAAAATGGTTTTGCCTTTGATGTGTCTTTTCTCTCAGTCCGAGGAAGGAATGAGTGTTGTCAACTCCTCTCATCTCCAGTCTCCACTCTCTCATTCAAACGTGTCTTAAAATTTAGGCTTTAACTGAAAAATAGTATTTTTCTCATTAATAGTTTGGGTTAAAATTTTAGTCCAAAATTATTAAAAAATAAATTTTAACTAGATTATGTTTTCTGTAAAATAAAATTTAAGTAAAATATCATAATTTATTGTTATTAACATTTTAACAAAAAAATATTATAATCCCGATGAAAGTTGAAAATTTACTAAACCAACCCATTAAACATGTATATATAGTACGTAAATATATGTGTGTATTATTCGGCTCATTCTTTAAAAACATTTAATTCTTGTTTATTATATTCTTTTTCTTTAAAAAAATGTAACATTTTACGTGTATTATTAAAAACTTTGTGAAATAATGTGTATAAAACGTGACCTACATTCATAATACAGAATAAGTACGTTGGAGTTAAAGAAAAAAAAAAAAAGAGGGTGTAATTTAACACATTATTCATACGCAAAATTTTCTATATTAAAAAAAATATTCAAGTGTATAATACACATAGAATTAGTTGTAGAAAGTCATTCATGAATGATGTGGAAAATTACAAAGGGGTAAAGTGGCCTTCATGTTAATTATTATCAGATTAAAATTCAATCCAACCCCATTTTTAAGTTCTAATGTCGCCCCTAGTGTATTTATGTGTTTATATTAGGGGTGCAAGTTGGAATGTTATTTTTGATTCCGCCAATAAAATTTCTGAATCATAATCCAAAAATTTTGAATTAGAATATTTTTCTGAAAAATTAAAACGGAAATAGGAATGCATTCAGAGATTCCCAAAGAATTTCCTGGGCAAAGTTTTTGGAGTGTTATGTGTGACATCCCACATCGCCCAGGGAAGTGATCCATATATGTATTTTCCCATCTCTACCTAGCACGAGACCTTTTGGGAGCTCACTGGCTTCGGGTTCCGTAGGAACTCTGAAGTTAAGCGAGAAGGGGGCTAGAGCAATCCCATGATGGGTGACCCACTGGGAAGTTGCTCGTGAGTTCCCAAAAACAAAACCGTGAGGGAATGGTAAGCCCAAAGCGGACAATATTGTGCTACGGTGGTGGAGCAGGCCCGGGAAGTGATCCGCCTCGGGCCGGGATGTGACAATTTGGTATCAGAGCCTAACCCTGGCTGCGTGTGTGCCGACGAGGACGTCGGGCCCCTAAGGGGGGTGGATTGTGACATCCCACATCGCCCAGGGGAGTGATCCATATATGTATTTTCCCATCTCTACCTAGCACGAGGCCTTTTGGGAGCTCACTGGCTTCGGGTTCCGTAGGAACTCCGAAGTTAAGCGAGAAGGGGGCTAGAGCAATCCCATGATGGGTGACCCACTGGGAAGTTGCTCGTGAGTTCCCAAAAACAAAACTGTGAAGGAATGGTAAGCCCAAAGCGGACAATATTGTGCTACGGTGGTGGAGCAGGCCCCGGAAGTGATCCGCCCCGGGCCGGGATGTGACATTATGAACTTATTCCGATTCCACCAATAAAATTTCCAAATCCGAACCTAAAAATTCTGAATTCGAATATTTTCTGAAAAATTGAAACAGAAATAGGAATCCATTTAGAGATTCTAAAAATTTGGAAATTTCAAGGTGAAGTTTTTAGAGTGTTCTGAACTTATTTCGATTTTGCCAATAAAATTTCTAAATTTGAACCTAAAAATTCCGAATTTGAATATTTTCTGAAAATTGAAACAGAAATAGGAGTGCATTTAGAGATTCCAAAAATTTGGAATTTCCAAGGCGAAGATTTTGGAGTGTTTCGAACTTATTTCGATTCCATCAGTAAAAATTCTGAATTAGAACCTAAAAATTCTGAATTCAAATATTTTCTTAAAAATTGAAACTAAAATAGGAATGCATTTAGAGATTCCAAAAATTTGGAATTTCAATGATGAAGTTTTTGGAGTTTTCCGAACTTATTTCGATTCTACCAGTAAAATTTCTGAATCCGAACCTAAAAATTTTGAATTTGAATATTTTTTGAAAAATTGAAAAGGAAGTAGGAGTGCATTTAGAGATTCCAAAAATGTGGAACTTCCGAGGCGAAGATTTTGGAGTGTTTCGAACTTATTTTGATTCCACCAGTAGAATTTCCAAATCTGAACTGTGACATCCCACATCGCCTAGGGGAGTGATCCTTAAATATATATTCTCATCCCTACTAAGCACGAGGCCTTTTGGGAGCTCACTGGCGTCGAGTTCCGTAGGAACTCCGAAGTTAAGCGAGAAGGGGGCTAGAGCAATCCCATGATAGGTGACCCACTGGGAAGTTGCTCGTGAGTTTCCAAAAACAAAACCGTGAGGGAATGGTAAGCCCAAAGTGGACAATATCGTGCTATGATGGTGGAGCGGGCGGGGGAAGTGATCCGTCCTGGGCCTGGATGTGACAATTTGGTATCAGAGCCTAAACATGGTCGTGATGTGCCGACGAGGACGTCGGACCCCTAAGGGGGGTGAATTGTGACATCCCACATCACCTAGGGGAGTGATCCTTAAATATATATTCTCATCCCTACCTAGCGCGAGGCCTTTTGGGAGCTCACTAGCTTCGGGTTCCGTAGGAACTCCGAAGTTAAGCGAGAAGGGGGATAGAGCAATCCCATGATGGGTGACCCATTGGGAAGTTGCTTGTGAGTTCCCAAAAACAAAACCGTGAGGGAATGGTAAGCCCAAAGCGGACAATATCGTGCTATGGTGGTGGAGCAGGGCCGGGAAGTGATCCGTCCTGGGCGGGGATGTGACACGAACCTAAAAATTTTGAAATATTTTCTAAAAAATTGGAATGGAAATAGGAATGCATTAAGAGGTTCCAAAAATTTGGAAACTCAAGGGTGAAGTTTTAGGAGTGTTCCAAACTTATTACGATTTTGTAAATAAAAATTATGAATCCAAATATTTTCTGAAATTTTGAAATGAAAATAAGAATGCATTAAAGATCCCAAAAATTTAGAATTTCCAAGGCGAAGATTTTGAGGTGTTCCGAACTTATTCTGATTCCACCTGTAAAAATTTTGAATCTGAAACCTAAAAATTCTGAATCTGAATATTTTCTAAAAATTTGAAACAGAAAGAGGAATGCATTTGGACATCCAAAATTTTGGAATTTCCAAGGCAAAGTTTTATCGAGTGTTCTGAACTTATCCCAATTCCGCCAGTAAAATTTCCGAATCCAAACCTAAAAATTCTAGATCTGAATATTTTTCTAAAAATTTAAACAGAAATAGGAATGCATTTAGAGATTTCAAAATTAGGGAAATTTCAAGGCGAAGTTTTTGGAGTGTTCCGAACTTATTCTGATTCCACCATTAAAATTTCTGAATCCGAACCTAAAAATTTTGAATACAAATATTTTCTGAAAATTTGAAACGAAAATAAGAATGTATTTAGAAATTCCAAAATTTTGAAATTTCCAAGGCAAAATTTTTGTAGTTTTCCAAACTTATTCCGATAAAAAATACTTCTGAGATTTCCAAATTTTTAAAGTTAACGCCTCATATTATATATGTTTTAATCAATTTTTGTATTTCCCTTGTTTTGGTCGAATGGTTGAGATATTTAATACACTAATCTAGTTTACTTTTGACTTGTATTATTTTCCTTTTCCAGTTTTAGCATCCATTCCCATGCATAACCTTTCCAGTTTTGGCTTCCACGCAAGTAGCCGCTGGCTCCCAAACTTTCCATCGTTCTCTCTCCCCATCTGACTCCTTTTCTCTTCTTCCCGTCGCATAAAACAAACCCTTAGGATCCCCATCGAGATTGTTCCCATCGCATCAAAAATTTCACTTTCTTTTTCTACCTTTCTCCCATTTTCTCAGCAACCAAACAACACAGAAATCATGAAGGGAATAAAACATAATTGTTAATGGACATACAAGACGAACACAACTGAAACAGGGGATTCTAAACGTCTTGAGGAACTGAAGGAGAAAAGAGGGGTTATCGGAGTTAGAGTTCGCTGGAGAATCGCGGAGGGAGGAATGAGCAGCTTCTTCTTCGACATTCTTGGAGCATACAGTCGGAAAGAACTCGGAGGATAAAGAATCAGAAGACGGAGAATCAGACGGAAGGGTGAGTGATGAGGGACGGAGAAAGTGAAGAATCTGAGGGACGGAGAAAATGAGGATCCGAACTCAAACTCTGTTTTCCTCCGGATATGAGGATTCTAAAACCAAAATGCTAAACCCAAATGCAGTTAAATCCAAAAATTTGAAGCAAGCATGGACTACTGTTTGACCTTCTTCTAGGGGCAAAATTTGAGCATTCGATTCGAACCGAGTGAAGCGATTCAAAGCCAAAAACCCCAGCAGAAGAACGAAAACAATCCCAGAGCTCCAAAACTCGAATCCCATTTTCCTCCGCGACATCAAAAACTGCTTTTTTCCGATGCTTAGAAGAAAACCAAATTAGTCTTACGTTATTAAAAAAAAAAATAAAAAAAAAAGGACAACAAAAGGAGAGGGAAAGGGACAAAGAGGTGAGTGTTTTCCTACTTCATATAAGATGTAAGAAAGAAAGAGCGAAAGACGGGGGAGAGAGAGGG